TGCAATGCAAATTTTAACCAGAGTGCAGAGACGTGCGGAAATGGAAATAGCACTGCTAGATTAGTTCATGTTGGTGAATACGAGCTCAATACAATGGCAACATAATCCTGTGTCCGAGTGCAGCCGATTCCCGAGTCTCGGTTTAGCCCTGGCTCTACGCAGCAGAATTCACGGGTCAAACATAGAAGAATAGCTAGTACCCAGCGGAAATCTACCTCGCGAAAGGCTGTAAATTCAGATGTATATGGATGCGCAGGAAGCTGGGACTAGATGACATTCAGCCACCTTGCGTATGTGAGGTGGGGTGGGTGGTGTTAGAATGACGGTGGCTTCAACGTCACGCGGGAATGGTAGCAGAAGACCCTGGCAAACGCGCAGGGGATTCGTCGAAAAACTACAACATAAATACTACAGCAGAGAAGGGTAATTAACATGAATATAGAGATATGAAAGGCCCAGGTCCGCAGGAGTTAAGATGCAGAGGGAAAGGAACAGGTACGGTTGCGAGGATAGATAAATAAGTAATGTTACCTTATTGGGCTCCTTGGGGTTGTGCGAGCGCGGACTCGTAATTCCAACAGGTGGTAGATTCACAAAAGGCTGGTCGCCAGGGACCGGAAAGATGGGAGCCACCTGAATCTGCATCCGGGCTTTCCGGCTGGCCGGCGGGTGGTTGGCGGACAATGCCAGCTGATTTGATTGATGTCTCAGAGGTGATCACATCATCTGGTGGACGGAAGTCGGCCAGTTGGCGGTGTAGTGGCATCCGTTTCCTCATCAGGCAACGTTCGTTGCACTGCATCCGCTTCGAGTCAATTTTGAGGCGACACGGCACGAGTTGGTGCCAGGTGGCGACCCACTTCCTTGTTCTTCCACCACCTCCTCAGCTTCTTACCACAACATTTTCTTAGAAAACAATAGACTGATTCATTAGCTCACAGGACAATATCAAAGAAGGAATAAGATAAGCCTGCTTCAACTTTCGTCCTCTATATGCCACGCAGCTCGCCACCCATATACGTTTTCTGACACTGGAAATATGGTAGTGGATACTGACGAAAGATATCCAGACGAGAGGTGTACTCAAAGTTCAGCCTTGAGGAAGCCCAAGCCTTTGAAGACTCACTCCCGGGCGGTGGCACGATCTGTTCGACGCACCATCCAGATCACTAGCCTGGGTGGAACAACACTACGAGGATCGTCTCCTCGCCTCTATACGGTTTCCTGGGATCGGGGGCCCGATAGCCACCATGCTCTTTCCCATTTCCGGGTCCGTCCTGAAGACGTATGTTCTCCGTGTGGCGCAAGCACTTGGGGACGCGTCGGGCTTTCCGGTCATGATCGTTTGACGATCCTTTGCTGGTGTGGGGTAAACCCCCCGACAGTCCATTTCCGCGCTCAGATGAAATTCTTGGCGCCGGCGGAGAGGCGACGGCTCTCGACGACAAGGCTCCCGATGTGGGGATGACTAAAGTTGACGCTGCAGGTGGTACAGATCGCGTGGCGCCAACGGGTGGCGTCCGCGAGATGAGCCCGGTCCACACATCAACTATATATCTACAGCTGCGTACATTGTTTTGAAGACCTAGGTATTTCACAAATTCCGCCTTCCACTCGGCTGCTGAGTGTCCTTGCAGTTCGAAATTCGCGGCCGAACCGACGATAGATGTCCAGACGGCTTTCGCCCTCACATGATCGAGTCCCTCACACATATCGCGGTGGATTCGAGAGATTACCAGGTTCTCATGGATCGCTCCTACAGTAGCATTGGGTACTTTGTTCGGGACCACGACATGGCCGGTTACCGGTAAGCATCAGGTCTATGTCGCGTTCTTTCCTTCTTGACTTCAATTTACACACAGGATAACGTTACCAACGCGCCGCGAGACTCGAACCATCACAATTGAGACGGCATTGACGATCCCGCTTCCACATATATGCACGTTCACGTTCACAGAGTCGCACAAGATTACCAACACTGTAGATATCAATGACCGGGTATGACGAGCCCAAACTATCTCTGTCCCAGCCCCTCATAATCAATTGTTCTGTTTACTTCCGCAGAAAAACCCGAAATGGATCGTCTCTGCACTTGGTCCTTCCTTGCGTCAAGGCCCCGGGCCCGCTATACGCTACGATTCGTACGATATTGCATATGAAGCCGGTGCGGAGAAGTACAGACACCTAATGGATCTCTCTTTATTTGTGGGCGTTCACCTCAATAAGGTAACAGATGTGAGTACTCCGACCGCCATCATGATACTGTATAATATGTGGACATTAGGTGGAGAACCGCACACTTTCACCATGCTCGTTTATCTCCCGAAACCAAACTATGATGTGGGTTCCAAATGACAAACTCAAGGCGAAAGGGCTGAGAATATTAGTCCTGACTTCCGTAAGTGGATATTGTTTTTCTAACGTTTCTGAATGGTTAAACAGCCACAGTCTTATATCCCAGACTGTCAAACTCGCTCGCCAATCAATATTATGCAGGAACCGGTCGTCGATCTTGGGTATGCGTCTCCGGGTATGTATATCTTACATCATGTCTTTGTCGCCATTCACCGACGAGCATCCGGAAAATACGCACATGCGCTGGCCAGCCTGCTCAAGATAATCCCCGATTCTCTGGCACTGATGAGTGGCCGTCCCAACAAGCCTGAGCTGAAGATTGATGCTCAAATGCTTCGCTGGATGGGGCTCAGTAGCATATGGATAACACAAACCAGCACTGGATGTGGCCGATATATCCCTCGGTGAACACAGGCACCGCGGGCTCAAGTGTGCCGACAACACTAGACCTCGTCACAGAACCCGGCTCCACTGAAGATAATCCAGTGGGTTTGGAAATTGACGGCGGAAATGTATGAATTCATAGGACACGTTGGCCGGATTATAGTTGCTTGTACTGTGGTTGAAATATATAATTCATCATCCAGAAATATGTTCAGCATTTCTTCGCATTGAAAACACGAGAACGATCTATTTAAATGAAGGCAAATAGGGGGACTACATATAATGTTCGAACTTGCAACATTCGACGCGGATCGCGTTGCAACCGTGAGAATATGAGCTGCCTCGGCAAATCGGCGCCCGGCTGTGTAACACGCTTGATCCGACTGAGTGTCTCAGGATTGACTCCACTGCTAACTCCGGCCTCAGGCCTCAGGGTCTGAAGTATGTAACCCAAATATACGTGCAGAGTCGGTGCGTAGTCACAAGAATGCCTTCTCCGAGTCCCCGACGACAGGCCGCTGAATTATCCAAGAAATTTCTACTCGATGTTTATCTACAAAATACACATTATACTGGTCGTCGTAACATACTTCGTCAAGCTTGAGTTCAGTCGCCGCCGCCCTCCAATGCCTTGACAATTCCAAAGGCGGCGGCGGCAGCGACCCCTCCAACAAGCAGCGTGCTCACCGCGCCCCACACGTACCCGCCCGCGCCGACGCCCGCACCCGTCACGCGCGCCTTGACCGCGCCAAAGACCAGCAGCACAATCCCCGTGATGAGCGCGCTCCACATCAGCGCAACGTGTGCGCGCGGGATGAAAAAGTAGGGCAGCAGCGGGATGATGCCGCCGACGAGGTAGCCCGCGCCGATCGTGAACGCTGAGATGTAGAGGCGCCTCGTCGGCACCTCCTCGAGGCCCGCGCCGAACTTGAGCAGGAAGGGCGTGAGGCCGACCTCCTTGCTCCAGCGCAACGACTCGTTTGACTCGAGATCGTGCGTGGCGACGGGGTGGGAGGTGGAGGGAGGGAGCTCGGCGTCGCGGAGGCAGCGTGCGACGGCGCGGCAGGTGCGCTCGTCGACGCCGATGGGGGCCAGTACCTCGGCGACCTCGCGCTCCATCTCGCCGTCGCAGCTGCGCACGACGCGCGCGGCGGTGGTGGTGCGGAGGAAGCGATAGTGATCGCGCTCAGCCTGCGACGCCAGGAAGCCACCGATTCCCATCGATATGGCGCCCGCAATCAGCTCTGCGACACCCCCGAGAACGACGAGGCGCGATTCGCCTAAAGAAGACAGGCCAGCGGTGAGCGCGAAGGGCACCGTGAGACCGTCCGAGAGCCCGATGACGCTGTTGTGGAGCGGTCAGTAAGGGATTTTCGCGAGTGGCGAGAGACGTACACGTCGCGGACGATATCAGGGTCGATAAGGGTACGGTCGTCGCCTTTGAGGTCTTTGCAGCATACACCGTCAGGTCGGGCGTGGCGAGAGCATTGTGCTGGAAGCGGAATGGGCTGCGCGCTGGGTGCTGCGGCGTCAAGCGCCCACACAGGCGGTTTTATGGAGTTTTCTGAGGCCTCGGGGCGTCGGAGAGGCACGGAGGGCGCGGTTGTGGGTGTCGAGGAGGAGGACATGGTGGCGGGAAGAAAGAGGGCTTCCCGCTGCCGCTTTCGGACAAATATTATCTCCGTGGCAGCTGATCGAGCCAATCGGAGGCCGCCAGTTACCGGCCATCATGTTACGTGCACCCAATCAACGGCCGCGAATTACGCCACTCGAAAAGCGCGCGCCTGTACGCCGAAGGGACGCGTTCTACCAGCATTTTCGCGACACAAGACGGCCAGAGTAGCTGTCTTTGGGAGAGCTCAAAGAAATTTGAACTCTAAATCAGGTGTCGCAATCGTTACCATCAGACATGGTAAATCCCAACCATTCGCTAAGAATTCATTCCGTGGCGTCGATCTAACGTATTACCCGGCGGGCTAAGTCAGTCAGGTAATAGCAGTGTAGAAAATTCAACGTGAACGTATTCTGCACGAAAGAAAACATCGAATGGTTGAAAAACTCGGAACATCGGAAATACGTCGGCGGTGCTTTATATGGCTATAAGCGCGTCTTCTCCGGATCGAACACACGACCTGCCAGCTACGATGAGCGTAAATTGAAGTCGAATTGAGCCTACGAAGAACGCGTAGGCCTCGATAATCACTGAAACACGCAACCGGCAAAAACGAAGATGTGGGCTCCCTAGCAACGGGATGCAAAAATGATTCGACCCGGGTTCGAACCGAGGACCGCCTGTGAACATAAATGTTAGACAGAAGTGATAACCAACTACACCATCGAACCGATGAGGATTGGAGGAATGAGACCAATAGGACAGACACAATTGAGAAATGTTGCTGAGAATCTGTTCGCTCTGCGCTTGAACTTCAGACGGTTGTAAGACCATATAATACCGTTATAAATTTAGAAGAAGCTCGGCGAGTAATGAACGCGTTCCAACTTGAAGCAAGTGGAAATTTCAGCATCATTTATTCGATGCCTCGTGGTCATCCAAGGAATGGATTTGTACGATAGAGGTTCGGGGAAGCCAGAGCTACGTGGTGCAACTGGTCTGAAAACACTAGATGCAAAAGATTGAGTGGGAGTTGAATTTGCTACAAACAGTGGCTAAACACTGTTGAAAGTTGAAGTAGCATTGATCAGCTCGTTCCGGAATTCTTGGAAGGAGAGTGAACAGATGTAGCCAATAGTGCCAAAGTCAACATAGACAGACATGATAACCAACTACACCATCAACCCGTTTTCAACTCGCACCAAACAAGGACCAAACATTGTTGCAAGTTGAATCTGTTGGTTTCGGACATGAACAGGTGGTGAAAAACGTTGCTTAACAACCGAAGGCAAAGATACATGTACATATCGGAATACAATTACATACGAGACACGGAGAGTGCATATTGAATAGACAGGACTTCGAAGTAAAGCACTAACTGAATGCTTTGGCCACATCTTTCCCAGATTCGGTACTGCTGTGGTAGTACTACCGACACCGGGAAAAATGTGGCCAAAGCATTTGGCAAGTAGTTGCTTTCCGGTTATCCAATATGCGCCCTCCGAGTCTCCTATGTACATGTAATTGTATTCCAATATGTCCGATATGTACATGTATCTTTCGCCTTCGGTTGATAAAAAATGCCCGTTTATAAATCATATGCGCAAGGAGATAGTCTCTCTTGACAAACTCCATTCCTCGTGCCTCGTTAGTTCAACTTCCAGCAATGTTTGGCCCGTGTTTGATGAAAGTTGAAAACGGGTCGATGCCTGCCCCTGTCAAAGTGACTCAGCAAACGCAGCGAAGCTTTGACAGGTGGGCCTCGAGCAGAGGTGAGGGGGACCTGAGCGAAGCGATCAAAGTGAATTAGGGACGCGTCTGTTTGTGAGCGGAACAAAGGGGCCGAAAGTGTGTCTGACTAGTCTGTAGTTAAGCGCGCGATCATGTATAGGTCGCGTCGTTATTATATAATCATCGGAGTTTGAATTACTTCCCTCAACCACTCACTTAGCCGGCGGCTCTAGCCACAAACTTTGAGAGAAAAAGTCTCTCAAAATCTCATTTCCAACTGAACTGTCTCTTCAGAATCACTATTATAGTCCGCTCCCTTCAAATTGGTATCTCGGCCTTTTCCGCGTGCCGGACCATCAAGGTTCGGCATTGCGCTTCTTCGACCTTCCGCCCAACCAACGGCGGAACAATTTACTCGTTTCATATTCATGAACATAAATCTTGGGTCAGAAGAGTGAAATACGCGTCGCGGAAGCTTTGGGAACATCAAAAAAAATCGGTGATTTGTAATAACGAGGCCAGCGATCATTTGATCGACCTTACTGACAGACTATAACAAACGAGGTACGAGTTGATAATGTTATAGCGTCTGTTTATAAGAGACTAGTGTCTGACCGAAGTGATCAACGCGTCCTAACCATGACCAACTACACCATCGACTTCAATGCTTGAACTGGCGTGTTTTGAAACTGTGGTGCGCATATTTACCGACAAAGTGGAGAGTCCGTCTCCATTCGTCCCGTGGCCGGGCACCACTCATCTTACAGTCAAATAACCCGTTGCCTCGCCACCTAAATCAATAATTTCCGGAATATATCATCGCACGCGCACACTTCAATCATCTATGTTTGTAGAAGGGCCAGCGACGACCTCACCCAGAGTTTCCGCTCCGCCCATATCTCGTCCCTTCCCTTTGCCCTGGTAATGGCCAAAAGGATTTCCGTCAACAACATCATGATCTTGCTCCTTCTCTTCCTCCTTTTCCTCCGAGCCTTCCGAATCGGGCTCCTCCGGCTCCCGTGGATTCCATCCAACCTTCCACGCAGGACTCTTCGACGCCACCTCCAAATCGGGGGTCCGGAAGTCTTTGTCTAGACTGGTCCACACGGCGGGCCGCCATGTCTCGTTTGTTGCATCCCAGCCGCGCGAGATGTACTCCTGCAGCGGTAAATTGGCGAGCGTAGGCTCCTTGGGGCCCCCGAATTTGTTGCGGACATCAGTGAAAAGCTCACTGAGAGCGTCCTTCCGCGACTTCTTGGTTTGGATGGGCGCGATGGACAGCGAGAGAGCCATGGCCTCCTTGTCTTTGGCCGCTTTCGCTGCCATAGGGGAACCGGGCATGTTATCTGTTGAATATGATTAATGCGATGGCCGCTGAAACAGGTGCAGCCGAAACGCACTCTTTGTGGCGTCGCTGGCGAAATGGACGTCCCAGTCCTCCTGGATGACAAGTTCCTGCCGTGTTCGTATGTTTGGAATGTAGGTCTTCCAGGAAAAAATCAAGAGATCAGCTCTATATTCGTCCTCCGGCAAGTTGAAGTCGCTGACCGTCATGAGCACCAATAGTCCTCGCACGGTGGGCTTCAGAGTGGGATCCCAGATCCATATTATCACTTGATTCCGAGTCACGAACGAGATTTCTGGGGGCCCAACATCCTTCTGAAAGTACATGAATTCTCTGGGAACATGGGAAATCTGATACCCACCTCGTGCAATATATTAACCCCCATTGCGAACTCAGCTAGGAGGGGATTCTTGATTCTAGTCCGGGGATCTTTCCCGGGGACGGTAGTGATATCATACGAGGTGTATGATTTCCCTTCTTTGTTCCAACGTTCGCCCGGATCGTGAAAGACGGCGCATCGAGGGGTCGGCTGAAACAGATCAGCAACGCAAAGAAAAGCTGAGTTGACTGCGTAGATATTCGCTGACCTTGTTGTCCGCCAACTCCGCAGCCTTACCGCGAGTGTTGCTGTACGTCGCACTTGCCCCTCCAGCGGGATGGAGGTTCATCGCGCCCATGTTCACTGTAGCCGTCAGCTGTGTTGACTCCATCTCGATACTCTTGAGTGTTTGATCTGGGTGGTCAAAACCACAGTCTATGCTAAATTCCAGGCAGTTTCAGGGGCGTAGAATAATGGCGCGTCGTATAGACTTACAATTCGCGATCAATCAAAGTTCTTTCCCGATGAGCGAGAAACCCAAGTGAGGTGTAAGAACGATCCGGTAAGACTTTGGCTCGGGTCTCGACGTTGAGCTTCACACGGCCTATCACTTCAGGTTGAGTTTTAGTGCTGTTATCTTCGGGATACTCTGGTTGGAACTGGAACTGAACATACATTGCCGCATAAACAGGAGAATCAACAGGAATAAAGACGAAATACGTACCGTAGTTTTTGTTCGAACACCCAAAGAATACTCGTGCTTCTCATCCGGCCACAAGTTCAACCAAACCACCGATTTGTGCGCCTTGCTGGTCCAAGGAACGCTCATGTCGTCTTCGCCCGAGTCGTCCCCCCTCCCTCCGCGGATGCGCATGGCTGGACCCTCTGCATATGCGAACTGCGGTTCTCCTCCATCCACCTCTCCATCCTCATCTTCACCTTCGCCTTCCTCTACGCCTTCGCTGTCGCTTTCACCATCGCCCAGTCGATGCTCAGGCACCGAGGGATTCAATATTCCGGACAAGCCTTCATCTTTTCCACCTGGGCCAGCAAACCTTGCAATAGGATTATCTGCGATAGGCCGGACCATGACCGCAAACTGAGAAACATCTGCAAGTGTTCTGGCAATATGGAGCACTCCGTCGTCAAGGATGGACCCAAAGATGGCCAGCGCCGGCACTTCTGGGGACAGCATAACCGCGATTGGACCGCCCAGTCCAACTGACCGCGCAGATTCAAGGAGTGGATCATCGTAGTGGTCTTCCACCCACGCTTCTGCCTGGGTTGGCCTGTGCGTCGAAACGACAAGTCCGCCCTCTGCGAACTTGTCTTCGAGGATTTGAACATCTTCTGGGCTCACGGCTGGGTGGTCACCGGCTCTGAAAGAGTTATATTATTGTCGGTCACCATCAAAGAACAAAACCACTTACAGGTCATTCGGGGTGTATATGACGAACGTAGAAATTGGACGCTGGTCAGCAGTACTTTGCGATGAGGTGCTTTCCGTGCTTGCGGAAATACCGGGCGTGTATACCGAAGACGCAGTTGAAGGAAGTTGCGCAGTATTCGGGGTCATGTCCTTCTCTACACTGTCCGAACGGATTGAATCGGAAGGCGGAAACGATTCGTAGGATGAGTCGTTGTGGGCACTAGACATATCTGCCTCTATCTCGTCGTCGGTGGCTGAAGTTGACATTGACGTCCGTGTCAACCAGGATTCTTGGTCATCGAAAGTATAGACAGAAGACACGGGCGATGGGAAATCCGCAATGTCGCCCTCTCCTGGAGTGCTTGAAAACGATGTTTGATCTAATTTGCGAACGTTTGGGAGATTATATGAGGCCGGTGTTTCAACACATACCTTCGTGTGAATTCCGGTAATGTTCTTGTTCTCCTGAGTCGACGTGCTTAGTGCTTTCAAAGTAGGCTGAGTAGATGCTCGAAGAGTCCTATTCGAACCGGGGATCAATTGAAGGTTGAAACCCTAAATGGACCGTGACTACCTGTCCTGTAGCCTCCTCATCCGCATCTTGCTGCGTAGAGGGCAGTGGATGTCCCGCAAGAGTGTGCATGCGGTTCAAGGCCTTGATTGTCAGCACCACGATGCGCCCTGTACCGCTGATCAACAAGATAGCGGACATGCACGGCCAGGGACATACATTTTCGCTTTGGGTTGAACACTTTCTTGAAGTAGGGCAATCGCAACTCAAGTAGGCTAGCTGTACGCGACTTCACTTGAATAACACGTGGAGTAGGAGGTACGAGCCACTATGATACTGGTTTAGAATAATGAGGGAGGTGAGACACGGCAACGCACCGTATGTGCCAGGGCGTCC